ATATGTCCTGGCCCTGATGGCTTCAGTGGAGAATTTTACCAAACATTCAAGGGAGAGTTGACCCCTATATTACTCAAGCTATTCCAGAACATAGAAAATAGCAGAATATTTCCAAACTTATTTTATGAAGCAAGCATAATGCTGATACCAAAACCAGAGAAAGACACCACTGAAAAGGAAAACTACAGACTAATATCCCACATGAATATAGATGCAAAAATCTTCAACATGTCCTAGCCAACAGAATCCAACAACATATTCAAAAAATAATACATCCTGACCAATGGAATTCATACCTGCTATGCAAGGATGGTTTAACATAAGAAAAACAATCAATGTAATCCATCACATAAACAAAACAAAACAAAAGAACCGTAAGATCATATGAATCAATGCCAAAAAGGCATCTGATAAAATCCAGTACTGTTCCTGTTCAGAACTCTCAGCAAAATAGGGATAGAAGGGAATTCCTCAACATAATAAAAGGAATATATGCAAAGCCAATGACCAACATTATTGTTAACAGAGAAAGACTCAAAGCATTCCCCTTGCATACAAGAACCAGACAATGATGCCCTGTATACTGCTTCTATTTAACATTGTAGTGGAAGTCCTAGCCAGGACAATGAGGCAAGTAAGAGAAATAAAAAGGCATCCAAACTGGCAAAAGGAAGTAAAGCTCTCTCTATTTGCAGATGACACAATCCTATACATAGAAAACCCAAGAGACTCAGAAAAAAAAAAAAAAAAAAAACTTCTGGAACTAATAGAGAGGTTCAGCAAAGCGGCAGAATACAAGGTCAACATACAGAAATCAGCTGGAATCCTCTACATTAACAAAGAAACCTCTGAAAAGAAATAAGGGAAACAATACCATTTACAATAGCTACCACAAAGATAAAATAACTAAGAGTAAATCTTACCAGAGACACAAAACAAAGAAACACTGCTCTCAAGTCAGTCCTGACTCATAGCAACCTCTCCGTGGGTTTCTGAGGTGGTATCTCTATGGCAGTAGATTGCCCAACCTTCCTTCCGAGGAGTAGCTGGTGGGTTTGAACCACCAGGCTTCTGGTTAGCAGTCAATCCCTTAGGCACTATGCCACCGGAGCTTCCAGAGACACAAAAGACCTATACAAAGAAAACAATAAAGCACTACTACAAGAAACTACAAGGTATCTACATAAATGGAAGAACCTACCTTGTTCATGGATAGCAAGAATGAATATTGTGAAAATGGCAATATTACCCAAACCAATCTACACATTTAATGCAATCCTGATCCAGATACCAAGAAAATCTTTTTAAGGATATGGAAAAACCAATTACTAACTTCAATGGAAAGGCAAGAGACCTCGGATAAGCAAAGCACTACGGAAGAAAAAGAACAAAGT